CACGAGGTCAGGAGATCAAGATCATCCTGACTAACACGGTGAAACCCTGTCTCTACAAAAAATACAAAAAATTAGCTGGGTGTGGTGGCGGGCGCCTGTAGTCCCAGTTACTCGGAAGGCTGAGGCAGGGGAATGGAGTGAACCCAGGAGGCAGAGCTTGCAGTGAGACGAGATCACGCCACTGCACTCCAGCCTGGGCAACAGAGCGAGACTCCATCTCAAAAAAAAAAAAAAAAAAAGGTCGATCAGCTCTCTACCACAACTGCAAACACTGAGCTATAACCCGCTCATTTCAAATGGTGAAAATGGGATCCCATTGCTGGGATAATCAAAATGAGGGCCAGGTACAGGCTCATGCCTGTAACCCCAACACTCTGAGAGGCCGTGGTGGGAAATCACTTAAGACCCAGTTCAAGACCAGCCCAGTGAACATAGTGAGACTTCCATCTCTACAAAAGTTAAAAATTAGCTGGGTATGGTACCTGAAGTCCTAGCTACTTGGGAGGACGAGGCAAGAAGGTGAGAGGATTGCTTGAGCCCCGCAGTTCAAGGTTACGGTGAGCTATGATCGCACCACTGCACTCTAGTCGGGCGACAGAGTGAGACCCTGTCTCAAAAAAATACATAAAAATTTAAAAGCTACTAAAAGCTCATTTAAAACACAGGCAATCTGAAAGAAATGTGGGCCATTCTCCTAAGAATCTGTAACTTGTAGGTAACTTCCACTCTAACATAAACAGTGTCCTAAAAATGCAAATGACTTCTCTATCTGTATTTAGCAATCTTACCTTTTATTTTGCAGTCATGGAGAGGAAAAAAAAAAAGATTACTTAATAAAAAGCTATTTATTCAGTATACTAAGGATCTAAGCTGCTCCAAAGACTAAGAATTTACATGAAAATTGGAGTTTTCAATACTTTTTTATTTTTTTAAAAAATTTAATTAATGTAATTTTTTAATTAAAAAAAAAAAGAGAGATGGGGTTTCACCATGTCACTTAGGCTAGTCTCAAACTCCTGGCCTCAAGCAATCCACCTGCCTCGGCATCCCAAAGTGCTGGGATTACAGGCATGAGCTACGGTGCCTGGCCCGGAGTTTTCAATACTTCTATAAAGAAATTACATCTAAGAATTCTGCCCAGTTATGCCTCCTACCCTTCCCTGCCCAAGATTCTTTCCAAAAAGCATTGTTTCTTGGAGTAACACAGGCTAACCATATTAGATATAAGCAGAATTAAACTATGACTCAAAAGCTCAGTAAAGACTCCAAAGAAAAATATATAGGAAGAAAATATATTTGCTGACCGCTAAATGATGTATCTCAGAAAACTCATACCCATTGGCTTTCTTCTACTAGGGTGTCTGCCAAGACTTGGGTCTGAAGGCTGAAGTGAAGGCCCTTTCAGAAATGTATTCTGCATGCCATCCTTAGTTCCACGCAAGAAATGGGCTAAAATCCCATATAAGAGAGGTCTATAGCAGGAAGAAAACAAAACAAAACCAAAAGTAACCAATCTGCGTGAACAGGAAAAACTTAAAACATTTATTCTTTAAAAGGTAACCTCTGACATCAAAATGACCAAGTGATTCACTAGACTTGAAAAAGCTGCATGATTATTATCCAAACTGCAAACTGTTCGTACTTTTAAATTTCAGAGTACCACTTAATTTCACGACAATTTTAAAACCCAGAGAAAACATGTTAACAACTTAAATTTCATCTACACTGAAATATAATTTCTATTAATCCACAGGAATTTATCTTTTAAACTCCAAAGTCCAGTTGACTATTTCCCAACACCTAACCCCATCTAATACACAACAGGTATTCAATAAACACCTCTTGATTAATAAGTCCTTGCCCTGAAAAAGTCTTAGGTCCTGAGAGCCAGGTGACCTGGGTTCAAATCCTGGCTTTGCCATTTGCTAGCTGTGGGACTCTGTAAGATTCTTAACCTCTCCAGCCTCATAAGTATTTCTTCCTTTACAAATTAGGATAAGCACCATCCCTCCCTTACAGGGCTGTTATGCACTAAATGAGTTAATAAATGTCAAGTGTTTTTTACTGTGCCTGGCACATATGAAATAGTACGTAAATGTTAGCTCCTGTGTAGCTAACATTTATTTAGATTAATATTTATATTACCTAACATTTTAAAATCTTCTTTATAGTTTACAGAACACATACCTCTTCTCTTCTGATCCTCATCATGTAATGTCAAAATCATCAACTGCAATTTATAAAGGAGAAAACCACAGCCAGGAGATTTGCTAGATTCCCTCAGACAGTAAATAAAGTTTACCCTTGAACCCCAAATCCCATATTCTTTTCCTTACAATGTGCTGCCTGGGGGTTTCTATTAGTACTCTTGCATAAAGGAAAGCTGCTCTGCTGACAATAAAGAGTGGTAAAACAGAAATGTTTTCCTTTGTTTCCAATCTCATATTTGAAAATATAATTAAAAGGATTTAATCTTTTTTATTTTTAATTTTTGTGGGTACATAGCAGGTGTATATATTTGTGGGGAGGATTTATTTTTTGAGATATGTATCTGTTTACTAGCTGGTATAACGGTTTACAGTATGACACTCCCTTCTCATTGCCCTCCCTTTGAGTGTGAGCTGAACTCACTTCTAATTGGCAGAAGGCTGACTTCAGAGGTCATGTGGTAATGGTATTGCAGCTTCCTCCTTGCTTTCTCTCTTGGATTGCTGCCTTTGGGAGAAGTCAGATGCCTCAGGACACTTCAGCAGCCCCAGAAAGGTACATGCGATAAGAAACTGAGGCCGCCTGTCAATATTATTATGAGTTTGGAAGCTGATAGTTTAGCCGCATTCAAGGCTTCAGACTACAACCCTGGCTGGCATCTTGACGACAACCTCACGGGGCAGCCTGAGCTAGACTTACGTGACTAAGCCGATCCCAAATCCCCAAATATCCCACAAATAATCTATGTTGTTGTTTTAAGCCACCAAATTCTGGAATAATATCATACCAATTTTTCCATGCAACAAGGAAACCAGGAAAGTAAGTTTCTTTATTTAATAAGATGCCTCAACTCTTATGAAAGCATCACCTAGTAATATAAAACAGGTCTCTTCGTTTACTTTAATCTTCCCCAAAGTGTTAATTGGTTCAAGATGATTTTTAAATGTTGAAAATTTTATTTTTTAAATTGATAGTCAATAAAATTTACTTGTGATTAAATTTTGGGTTGGATATGGGGGCTCAGGCCTGTAATCCCAGGACTTTGGGGGGCCAGCCTGACCTTAAGCAGGAGTTTGAGACAGCCCGAACAACACAGTGAGTCCCCTAGCTCTACAGCAATTTGATTTTAAATTAGCCACACAAGGAAATATGCACCTGTGGTCCCAGCTACGGGCAGGCTGAGATGGGAGGATCGCTTGAGTCCAGGAGGGAGAGGCAACGTGCAAATTCATGGATTAAGGTTTATTTTTAAAAATACGTTTCAAAAAGATAATTTAAAGAAAAGTGCATCCTCACAATACCTTGCCTGTAATTCTGAAATGCAAAATTCTGAAAACTGGACTTTCTTCATATATCTGGCAAAAAAAATCATCAGATGGCAAGGGTTGACCTAACAAGGCTATTACAGACTTTATCTTACTTTGTGTGAAAATATTAATGTGCTGGGTGCGGTGGCTTATGCCTGTAATCCCAGCGCTTTGGAAGGCCGAGGTAGGAGGATCACCTGAGGTCAGAAGTTCAAGACCAGCCTGACCAACGTGGAGAAACCCCCTATCTAAAAACACAAAATTAGCCGGGTGTGGTGGCCCATGCCTGTAATCCCAGCTACTCAGGAGGCTGAGGCAGGAGAGTTGCCTGAACCTAGGAGGCAGAGGTTGCGGTCAGCCGAGATCATGTCATTGCACTCCAGCCTGGGCAACAAGAGCAAAACTCCATCTCAAAAAAAAAAAAAAAAATTAACGTGATTGTTGAACACTACTTCAGGACTCCCTAGCACATATATATAGTATTTGGCATATGTACCATATTACTTTATTTTTTTAAAGAATTGAAGTCTCGGGTTAGGCGTGATGGCTCACACCCGTAATCTCAGCACTTTGGGAGGCCGAGGCAGATGGATCATGAGGTCAGGAGATGGAGGCCATCCTGGCTAAAATGGTGAAACCCTGTCTCTACTAAAAATACAAAAAATTAGCCGGGTGTGGTGGCACGCATCTGCAGTCCCAGCTACTTGGGAAGCTGAGGCAGGAGAATCGCTTGAACCTGGGAGGCGGCGGTTGCAGTGGGCCGAGATCGCGCCACTACACTCCAGCCTGGATGACAAGAGCGAGACTCCATCTCAAAAAAAAAAAAAAAGAATTGAACTCTTGCTGTGTGGCCCACACTGGAGTGCAGCAGCAAGATCATGGCTCACTGCAGCCTCGATCTCCAGGATTTAAGCAATCTTCTTGCCTCACCCTCCTAAGTAGCTAGGACTACAGGCATGTCATTTTAAAACCTGAAAACGTTTGGATTTTCAAACATATATCTGGCCTCAATGGTTTTAGATGCAACACTGTAGATCTGTAAGTAAATGAGTAATATGTGACTATGGCAAACTTTGTGAATGCCAATCACTGAACCGTGAGAAACAAGGGCATAAAGAAGTTACCTAACTTTTAAAAACTAAAGCTGTTTCAGCAACTTTTTTTTTTTTTTTTTTTTTTTTTTTTTTTTTTTTTGAGATGGAGTCTCGCTCTGTCACCCAGCCTGGAGTGCAGTGGCACGATCTTAGCTCACTGCAAGCTCCGCCTCCTGGGTTGATGCCATTCTCTTGCCTCAGCCTCAGGAGTAGCTGGGACTACAGGCACCCACCACCTTGCCTGGCTAATTTTTTGTATATTTAGTAGATACGGGTTTCACCGTGTTAGTCAGGATGGTCTCAATCTCCTGACCTTGTGATCTGCCTGCCTCAGCCTCCCAAAGTGCTGGGATTACAGGCGTGAGCCACCGGGCCCAGCCTTCTTTTTTTAAAACATATGAAACGTTTCACGAACTTGCATGTCATCCCTTTGCCAGGGCCATGCTAATCTCTGTACTGCTCCAATTTTAGTATATGTGCTGCTAAAGCAAGCACAAACTTCTTAATACTTCCATCTGAAGTATGTATCTCAAAAGCTACCAAGAAGCCAGTAGGAATAAAATCATTGCTTATTTCCATCAACTGCTAAATGTAAAATACTGTCTTGTATTAAACCATGTAATACCTCACTGCTCATCCTAAGTCACACTTAGATTCCCCCAATTATTTTTCCCACCGTTCTCAATTACACAGTTTTAATACTTTTCAAAACACTTGTCACCAGGTGCAGTGGCTCATGCCTGTAATCCCAACACTTTAGAAAACCAAGGCAGGTGGATAACTTGAGCCGAGGAATTGGAGACCAGCCTGGCTAACGTGGTAGAACACCATCTCTACAAAAAATACAAAATTAGCCAGGCATGATGGTGCATGCTGGTACATGCCTGTAATTCCAGCTACATGGGAGGCTGAGGTGGGAGGATCGCTTGAGCCCAGGAGTTCAAGGCTGCAGTAAGCCATGATCAAGCCGCTGCACTCTAGAGACCTGGGCAACAGAGTGAAACCCCGCCTTGAAAACACAAACAAAATAAAACCCACAGCATTTTGGGAGGTGGAGGTGGGCAGATCACTTGAGGCCAGGAGTTCAAGACCAGCCTGGCCAATATGGTGGAACCCCATATCTCTACTAAAAAATATGAAAAAAAAATTAGCTGGGCATGGTGGTGCACACCTGTAATCCTAGCTACTCAGGAGGTTGAGGCAGGAGAATCCCGGGAGGAGATTGCAGTGAGCTGAGATGGGGCCACTGCACTCCAGCATGGGCAACTGAGAGAGACCCTATCTCAAAAAAAGGAAAAAAAAAAAAAAAAAAGAAAAAGAAACACGGGAAGATGAGGGGAAGAGAAAAAGGAAAATGTCATAAAGGAGTTACTATCTGAACAGGGCCAACAGAAAGGAAAATGCTCCAATAGAAGTTAAGAGGGAGAAAGGTGATCTAGGACTTCTGGGATAAGGGAATGGTTTACAAGGCAAAGCAGCATAAAGTTGCAAAATGTCTTCAGGGCACAATCAGAAATCAGGTGTAAGCAGATTCAACAACAGATGGGGTAGAAAGATAGAGGCCTAAAATGCTATGCTAAGCAACTGGGACTTCACTATACACACAATGACAAAGGTAGTATATGATCCTGGAACATTAATTTTACACAAGGATTTGTGGGAGAGTTAAATTTAACTGGAATGTCATTTAAAACATTTGTACGGTAAAGCAAACAACTTTTAAGAACTTTTTTTTTTTTTTTTTTTGAGGCAGGGTCTGGTTCTGTCACCTAGGCTAGAATACAGTGGTATGATCTTGGCTCACTGCAACCTCTGCTGCCCAGGTTAAAGCAATTCTCATGCCTGAGCCTCCCTAGTAGCTGGGACTATAGGCACACGCCACCATGCCTGGCTAATCTTTTTGTATTTTCAGTAGAGATGGGGTTTCACCATGTTGGCCAGGCTGGTCTTGAACTCCTGACCTCAGGTAATCCACCTGCCTCAGCCTCTGAAGTGCTGGGATTACAGGCATGAGCCACCACGTCTGGCTAAACATGGGGTTTCCCCATGTTGCCCAGGCTGGTCTTGAACTCCTGAGCTTAAGTGATCCATCTACTTCAGCCTTCCAAAGTGCTGGCATCACAGGCATGAGACACCTCACCTGGCCTTAAGACTTTCTAGGATAAGAAAACATAAGGCTTCAAAGGAAGTTCTAGATTTTTTTAAAAAGGCTGCTTTAAGCTATGTTCTCAGGTTTCCTATGTACTTTTTTTTTTTTTTTTGGCCATACAGGAACCCTCCTGAAAAAGTTTAAGAAACACTGAAATAGAAAAAACCTAAGAAAACTAGAAAGTGGTCATCCTCCTTTTCAAGAGCATAGCTAGTGAGAGGAGGTGCATGGAGGGCAAAGGAGAGAGTAATAGTAACGAAAGCAGTGGGCTGATTCAGTCATCTTGATAGAAAAAGGAATTCAAGCAGAAGCTGAGGGTTGGAAGTTCATAGGTTGTTTTTTTGTTTTTGTTTTTTTTCAGGAGAGGAGAGATCTGAGTACATTCCTAAGTTGAAGTGAAGGAAGAGTTAAATATGAAGAAAACAACTGACAAGGCGAAGTCTCAGAGGCCAGCCATGGGGGGCTTACGCCTGCAACCCTAGTACTTTGGGAGGCCAAGGCAGGAAGATCACTTGAGCTCAGGAGTTCAAGACCAGCCTGGGCAATAATGTGAGGCCTTATCTCTACAAAAATAATTTGAAAATACAAATAAAAGTTGAAATTATAAATTAAAAAAAAAAAGAACAAAGCCTTAGAAAGACAAAGGATCAAGAAGTCAAAAGGAGCTAACCCCAGAAAGAAGATGCTTAGTCACTCTGAGGCCATGGAAATTTAGCTTCAGCAAACACCGACCTCATCTGACTTGTCCACTGCTACACACCCTGGATTTAGTACAATGTTTGACACACACTAGATCTGAACAAATACTTGAATTAAAATGAAGTAAAACCACCATGGTGCAATTATGACTCTAATACAATATTTGGAAACTTCTTTAAAAAAAAATTCTTACATTGTATTATCCTTTGATTCTTCAAATGCATTTAGTTCACGGATGAGAAACTGTCTGTCCAATGGAACGACAGGTTGACCAGATTCTGGAAGAAATTCATGAGAACACTGAGCCTATTAAACTAAAAAGCAAGTAAGATTTTGAAAAGAATCACATTTACCAGACATACACTTTTCAGATTTTGGAAGAATGATGACAACACATACCAAGACAGATGAAATTGCCTGTGATTTTATGACTTTCAAAATATCTCTTTTGTTAAATGCATGTCTTAATACAGTTTAACATAAATTCAATTTTTAAATTCCCCAGTGTTTGGTTGGGAAAATATCGTTTCTATATCCCAATTATAATACTAAATTTTAGAAGTCTGTTTACCAATAAGTTATTTTTGAAAAGAATATCCAATTGGTAACAATAATTATAAATAAAAATTAAAATTAAAATTAACCCCAGTGGGGCAACTGGAACTTGCACACTTTGCTGGTGGGAAAGCACAATGGTACAGCCACTTTGGAAAACAGTTGAGCAGTTTTCTCATAAAGGTGAGCATGCACTTAACCACACAACCCAGCAATCCCACTCTTACCTTTCTACCCACGACTAAAGAAAACTTATGTTCTCACAAACACCTGTATGTAAATGTTTATGGCAGCTTGATTCCTAATTGCTAAAACTAGAAACAACTCAATGCCCATCAACTGGTAATAGATGAGTAAACTAGCACAGCCACACAATAGAACAGTGTTCAAAGGAAAACAAACATGGCTGAATCTTGAATGTATTATACTAAGTGAAAAGAGGCAGACTCAAAAGGCTACATCCTGAATGGTTCCATCTATAGCGGGGGTCCCCAACTCCTGGGCCACAGATCAGAAACCGGGTCGCACAGCAGGAGGTGAGCAGTGGCCAAGCAAGTGAGCGAAGCTTGATCTGTGTTTACAGCTGCTGCCCATCCCTTGCATCACTGCCTGAGCTCTGCCTCCTGTTGGCGGCATTAGATTCTCATAGGAGCGTGAACCCTGTTGTGAACTGCACATGCGAGGGATCTGGGTTGCACACTTCTTATGAGAATCTAATGCCTGATGATCTCTCACTGCCTCCCATCACCCCCAGATGGGATCATGTAGTTGCAGGAAAACAGGCTCAGGGCTCCCAATGATTCTACATTATGGTGAGTTATATAATTATTTCATTATATATTATAATGTAATCATAGAAATAAAATGCGCAATAAATGTAGTATGCTTGAATCATCCGGAACCATCCTCCCAGGGCCATGGAAAAATTGTCTTCCACGAAACCGGTCCCTGATGCCAAAAAGGCTGGTGATATCTTGATTGTGATCTGGTAGTAATTACACAACTGCAGGCATTTGACTAAAGCTATAGAACTGTACAGTTGAAAAGGTAAATTTTATTGTATGTAAATTATATCCCAGTTTTTTAAAAAAAGCCAAAACATTTAATATGAAAACTTGACTACTGTCACTATATTTCATTCTAGTGAAGCCCAAGTCCCTAACAGATATTTTCATAATTTCTTCTTTTCTGGGTGTAACTGGTATCATACAGCCATCTATAACAAACTAATGAAAGTAGAGATGCTGATATCAAAGATCCTTAAACCAATAAAAATCATGAGTCTTTATGTAGTTAAGATGTATGTTTAATATTAAATAAAAGATCTGTAATGAAAAATTCTAACTTCACAAAGAATTCACTCTGTCTTGCAAAATCTACCTCCTGGCCTCATTTCTTTGCTGAGGCACATCTCTGAGGCATGAAGTAGTCAAAGCAGAGACAGAACCTAAAGCAAGGGAATCCGATGATGTACATTAGGGTGCCTTGGACCACGCCCCAACTTCATCCCCCACCCCACCAAGTCCAGGAGTAACCAGGATTCTGACTTATTTATATCCAGTCTCTCCTCACTTTTTTGAGAGAAGACATTTAAAAAGTCAGCGGAAGGTGTTAAAAATATTCTCACCACTCAATAACTATTACACTTGAAGAAAAATTTTGTTTCTTAAGAAATAAAATTCAACAGATAAAGGAAATTTATCTTCAACTGCCGACCGCCAACCCCCAATATCATTCTCTGCCTCCTACCACTAGGATGAGTTTGGAGTTTCCCCGCTGATAGAGTCTGGATATTTGTCCCTGCCCAAATCTCATGTTGAAATGCACTCCCCAGTGTTGGAAGTGGGACCTGGCGGGAGTAGTATGGGTCGTGGGGGTGGATCCCCCATAGCTTGGTGCTGTCCTTACCACAGTGAGTGGGTTCTCATGAGATCTGGTCATTTAAAAGTGTGTGGCACTAACCTTCCCCACACTTGGCCCCTGCTTTCACCATGTAACATGCTTGCTGCAGTGAGTAAAAGCTCCCTGAGGCCTCCCAGAAGCTGAGCAGATGCTAGCACCATGCTTGTACAGTCTGCAGAACCGTGAGCCA